AAGTCCAGACTTTGTACACTGGGAGCTCTATGAGCAAAATACATGAATTTATAGGAGTCCTGGGTTCTGAGATTAGGATGCATGAATCTATATGTTCTCTGACTTGTATCAAAGGACAGTGTATTGTTTATAGGTGAATCAGCTAAGCCAGGAGAGTGAGGCGACTGTTGTGTGATTTGGTGACAGGAATGATGAAGGGCACAGCACCTGGTCTTGACAAATTAGCTGACTCTGGTGGGGACAGGAAAAGCAGGACACAGGTGTTGGCTAATTGGTAACTAATTCACACTGGGTAGCCGGAAATGGGTGCTGAGTATTCAGAAACCAAAGATCTAAGATTTACCTCAAACACTAGCTGTAAGTGTTACAGCTCTGAAGGGAAAGGCTTCTCCTACACAAGTTCTGCTCTAGCTACTGGGAAAGTTTGCCCAATGCAATTTAACAGCTGTGCTCCTCTCCAGCCAGTTACAGCTCTGAGGAAAAAGTTATGCTGGCAGTCTGCAGCCAAAAATACCACAAAGTCACACCATATGACCGTTAGGCCCAAGGAGACCTTAACTTGCAGGGAAGATGAAGAGAACTCAGGATCCTGAATCATTGATGCAACAGCAAGAGGTTTATTCGAGCCACTGCGTAATGTGGCTGCCCCCCCCCCCCCCCCGCTGGTCAGCAAAGAGTGGTACTGGGAGACAAAGGCCTTGGGTTTTTAAAGGATAAGGCATGGGAATTTTCAGGGGTGCAATCTTGGCAATTCAGGATTGATTGGATGAGGAAGCTATAAGGTAATATAATTGGTTAGTCTTCCAGTCTTGCTAAGTGTGGATGTGGCTGCAATTAAAGGTGGGGGTGGGGGTGATTAGCTCATCCTTGAAAATCGGGGCTGTATGCTTTTGGCCGGAGGTCAGGGGCTACTCAGAAGAAGGATTGAGGCCATCTGGGTTGGTTACTAAGAAACACTATCTCGAAGACAAAGGTCTGGTCATTCTTTTTGCTGAGTGAAGGTCAAAGGTCATTGCTTGCTCACTTTCTTGGCTCTGTCCTCACAGATGGCCAGGGTCACATTCTCCCGTTCTCTGGAAAGGTACTAAGAGGCTTTAGCTTAACCTGGGCCTAAAACTTAGAAGACATATAGGTTACAAAGTTAGTCTGATCCTTTCACGACAAACCTCACACAAGAGATTTATTGGGAGGGGTGGCTGCCTCTGCAGAGAACTGAGCAGAATGCAGGGTTTGTATAGGGTTTTCTTGAGGTGGGAGTGGGGCAGAGCTTTCCAGGGGACCTGATGGTTGGGGCAAGCTCAGGGATAGGTGGGATTTTGTTTTGTTTTGCTTTTGTAAGGCAGGGCCTGGACTCTGGAGGTCCTTAGGTGGGGCACTTGTGTGCCTTGAAGGTTTACAAAGAATACAAAGTTTACCAAGGGTGTCCCAAGCTTCAGTTGGCTTGAAAAACCAACACTAGCAACATTTCTCTTCCACCTGTTGTAGGATTTCACAGTTCACAAAGCATTTCACCCATTATTGTTAACAAGAGATATAACGAGGTGATATTGTCTTTTGTCAATGTCTTTTGCCTTTACACATAAAACAAAAGCACAAACACACAGACAAAAGTGGTAAACCTGAGAATACTGAACAGAAAAGACCAAATCCACAACTGTCCAATTAGAGCAAGTTGTATTTTTGGGGTACACCTGGGGCTGGCCAGCTGGCTGCCTTATCCTAAGTTGGGGTTTTAGAGAACAGTCCCGACTGGCCTTTTGAAGTCCCTTTTATAGGAGAGATAAGGTATTCACAGGGGTGAGAGCTATGGGTATCATACATTGTTAGAAAAACACAATGAAAGGGAAGGAACAAGGGTAAGGACATACATCACATGAATCAGACTGCAAGTAGTTTACATCAGATATAAGAAACAGGAACTTATTCTTTTTGTTTGTTTTTAGGAACTTATTCTTAGTCACAAATAGAAACCTTCACTCTTAAAGACTTAACACAGGACAAACAGGAAATTCTTGAGTAGAAATAGAAACCTTAACTTGCAAGTACTCAACACAGGACAAATAGGAACTTACTCTTAGCTGTCTTAACTGCAAACATAACCCTTAACCTACAAGATACATTCTTCCTGTTTTGGTCTCTCATTAACTTGCAAGGTATATTGTTTCTGTTTTGGTCTCACAGAAGACCATGTGAAGACACATGAAATAAAAAGAAGAAAGGAAGGAAAGAAGGAAGGAAGGAAGGAAGGAAAAAAGAAAACTGAAGGCGCAGTGGCTATGTTTATGTAACAGGCCCCCAGACCTAAGCATAACTGACACCATGGTTAGAGGCACCATTCTGACTCCAGAACCCAAGATGTAGGCCTCAACACTTGCCAAAACGGAAACAAAGACCTAATCCATTAAAGACCTGGTCCATAGGTCCAGGATTCAGGAAAGCCCATAACTGTGTTAACTTCGCTTATTTGGCCTCTGTGGTTCTGCTTCTTGCTAACTGTTCTTGCTAACTGAAGTATGCCAACGAGGATGTGGTTTGTGCATAAAATGTAAACAGCTGTGAGGATCATGGCTGATTTAGGCAAGTTCCCTGTGCAGCTGCTGGCCTGTGATGGTAGACTTTCTTTTCGGCTTTAAGGGTGGCCGTGTGTGTTCTCTAGTGGACATACTGAAAGGATCAGACTAACTTTGTAACCTATATGTCTTCTAAAACCTATATTTTTGAGTTTTAGGCCCAGGTTAAGCTAAAGCCTCTTAGTACCTTTCCAGAGAACAGGAGAATGTGACCCTGGCCATCTGTGAGGACAGAGCCAAGAAAGTGAGCAAGCAATGACCTTTGACCTTCACTCAGCAAAAAGAATGACCAGACCTTTGTCTTCGAGATAGTGTTTCTTAGTAACCAACCCAGATGGCCTCAATCCTTCTTCTGAGTAGCCCCTGACCTCCGGCCAAAAGCATACAGCCCCGATTTTCAAGGATGAGCTAATCACCCCCACCCCCACCTTTAATTGCAGCCACATCCACACTTAGCAGGACTGGCCAAACTTGAGCACCTAAGACTAACCAATTATCTTAAAAGTCAATGACCTTATAGCTTCTTCATCCAATCTTGAATCGCCAAGACTGCACCCCTGAAAATTCCCATGGCTTGCCTTTAAAAACCCAAGGTCTTTGTCTCCCAGTGCCACTCTTTGCTGACCAGTAGGGGTGACCCATTGCATGATGGTTAAAATAAACCTCTTGCAATTGCATATATTGATCTGGTCTCCTGCGTTCCCTTCATCTACCTTCTGGAAATTAGGCTTGTGCTTGGCTTAAGAATACCAGGGGCATTTACAGTAGATTTGAACACTTTCTTTAGGATTAATCCTTATTTAAATCCTATAATACAAGTCAGACTCTGTTACTAACAAAATATTGTTCCAAGTGACACAAAACATATGTCTATGTAAGAAAATTAAAACCACACAGAAGTATAGCTTTGAATGTTGGCATATGTAGCCCACTCTATGTAACTTTCCAGTGGTTTGGCTGGAGTTTGGATTTCCCTGTAAAGGAATTTCTTTTTTTTCTCCTTCCCCCTTCATCTTCTTTATTTTTTGGTGGGGGAGGGAGGAAGTCCAGACAGTGTAGCCTTGGCTGTCCTGGAGTCCCTTTATAGAGCAGGCTGACCTTGAACTCACATCGATCCACCTGCCTCTGCCTCCCAAGTGCTGGAATTAAAGGCATGCGACACCACACCTGGCAATTCCCCCCCCCCCATCTTTTTCTATTAAAGAATACACCCATCACTATGGCTCTTTTTCATTAAATGTCTGGTCGTTTTCCCAACTAACTTTGTATTCAGAGATCAACCTCTTTGTAACGAGCTATGTTTGAAAACAGAATCGTAACAACCTTCACAAGTACACTGATATTCAACCATTGCGGGGTGGAAAGAGTGCTGGTGCTCAGAAATGGAGTCAACTAACCATGACAGTATCTGATAGATTCGAGGGCTTTGGAATCAGAATAACAAAGTAGTTGAATACCGTCTTGTTAAAATTGTGGACCAGTTTTCTGGTTCAGCTGTCTCGTCTGTGAAATGAGGATAACAAAGCGGGTGGTGTGGCGCACAACTTTATCAAAGCACGCCAGAGAAGGATCTGTTAGTTCTAGGGCAGCCAGGGATAGATGGTGAGATCCTGTGGAAGAGGGGAAGGGGAAGGGGAGGAGAAGTGGGGGAAGAGAAGTGGGGGAAGAGAGGGAGGAGAAGGGACGAGGAGGGGGAAGAGGAGGAGGAGAAAGGAAGAGGAGGAGGAGGAGAAGGGGGAGGAGGACGACGAGGACGAGGAGGACTTCCAAGGCCAGCCTGGTCTACAAAGTGAGTCCGGTACAGCCAGGGCTATTACACAGAGAAACTCTGTCTCAAAAAAAAGAGAGAATAAAAAAATGAAAAGAAAAAGAACGAAAAGGAGAAAAAGTAATAATTTTACTATGCGGGTAAGAGGTGGAGACAAAGAAGTCATCCTCAGCTACAGAATGAGTACTAGACAAGGCTGGGATACAGGAGATCCTGTTCATAGTTCACAGGTTGGACTAACTGAGGTTAACAATTAGCACACTGACTGATGGAGGATCTAACAACAGCGGCCGAGCCTTAAATTATAAGAACAACTCTCTTAGAAAGGGGTGTGCCAGGAAAATCTTTATTAAGAATTAAATCAATCTGGCTGTTTGACATTTCTGGAGACACCGCTGTGACTGAACGCTTGGCACCACAGGCTGCGTTTACGCCTGACTAAACCATTGGAGAAACTGAGATCTACAGCTCCCAGGGTCCACCATACCTTGCCCCGCCCACAACGTTACACCCTTTAATTCACAACCTCCAATGGGCAGGCTTGCCTACACAAACTACAAACCCCATAAGACCCTACATCAAGCGTGTTTGCACCCACGATTTATGGCGGTAATCTGCGGCCGTATTGGCTGCTGGGAAATGTAGTTCGACGGTGGCCGAGCCATTCAAAGCCTATGGCCCACTCCAAGATGGGTGAACTTGCAGTGCTTGAGATTTAGTTCTTCTAAAAGTCCAGCTAAAGCGTAAACTTCCTAGGCAAGGCTCTGGAGACGCTCCTGGGCTTGGGATCTGCGAAGATACCTCGCCTTACGGGCCTCGCTAGGTAAGAAAGTGGGCTGCGAAGTGAGCAGCGGCGTTGGAGGAAGAGACCAAATACAGCTAGAGGAGGAAGCAGCGGGGAAGGGAGGATCCAAGTGGAAATGCCAGAAGCAAAGTGGGGCGGGGCGTTCCCTCTCCGCTGGCGGAGAGGAAGTGAAGCCTAGGTCCCAGTAAAAAGGGACTTCTGTGTGCTGGGGTGCATTTGTGGTTTATGGCTTATCAGTGGAAGTTCTCATCCGGTTTGGTCTCATCTCCCCTACTGGTCAGTCAACCTATCAGGCTTTGGCAGTTACGTAAATCACCCCACTTGAACACAAGACTGAGAGTTTTAATTGCTGCTCTCCGGGTGGAGTGTAACATCTGTGAGAGGAGATGTTTTGGGGTGCTTTGTCTAGAAGAAGTCTTGGCAGGGAACAAAATCTTAAGGTCCCTAATGTCTAGAGTCTAGCCCTTCCTTTGACGACTGCCCTTGCTCCTAGAGTATTCCCTGTGTTATAAGCATTTTAAGGCAATGCCATTTGAGTAAGGCTTAAGTCAGAACCCGGCCAGAGAATTTGGTGTTCAGGCCCCTGCTTCTAGAGCATTGTAAAACTGGTCCAGCCTGGAGGAAACCGTCTAGGGTAAATTAAGTCACAATACAAAATAACATGCTCTCTTTCTGTCTGATACATTAGCCCTTCTAGTTTAAAATGTAATCTTTGTCCATTCTAGTGAAGTTAGGTTTCACTGTAAAACTTTCTTGGGATCTGTTAACTCACTTTGACTAGGGAATGGGAAGGAGAAAAAGAAAAATAGCCCAGTAAAATACAATCGGTTTTGGATTTACCATTAGTTTTTTCATCGGGATGATTATTTTAGGATATGCTAATTTGTGTTTGCATTTTAATTAGAAAAGAAAGTTCAGTTTGTCCTTTAGCTTCTTCTAATACATTACAAAAGCTTATTAATCAAAGTAGGAGCGTAGTGAACACAAGTTTTATTTCAGTCTTTTTACCTTTCGCAGCTTTTGCCATCTTCCAGTTAGAAGGTGACATTCCTGCATAAGCCTGTTCCTATTAAAATGTCCTTGCCGCTTACAGAGGAGCAGAAGAAAAAGATCGAAGAGAATCGACAAAAGGCTCTGGCCCGTCGCTCTGAGAAGTTATCAGCAGAACAGCCACAGAGCACAGCTTCTGGCTCCTTTGTTACTGGCCCTTCCCAATCCAAGCAGGACCCTTTCCGGAATCTCCCAGTAGAACCTTCAAAACCAGTGGGCCAAGCTGCTCTTTTCAAGCAACAGAATCTCAATAATTCATTTCCTGATGACCAGAGACCTCACAGTTCCCACCATTTTCAAGCCAGCACATCAGAGCAGGCAAAGGGGATATGGAAGATTCAAGGAGAGAGGTCCACAGTCTACCCAAAGCCTAACCCAGCTCCTCCAGATGTCTCTAACCAACAGCTTTTTGGTTATAAGTCAGGTCAGGGCCTTCCCCAGTCAACCCAGGAGCCTCTGACTAAAGCACAGAGTTCCCAGAACACAGCAGCTTCTTCCTGTGGACTATTTCCCAGGGATCCCGACTTACAGGCCGAGACAGCGAGGCCCTCCACCTCTGGGCAAAACATTTCGAACACCTTTTATGCCTTAGGTGGAAAAACACCTAGGACAGAAGAGAGACCCTCAAATAAACTGCAGACTTCATCCCAAAAAGTAAGCTGTCAGCAGGGAACATGCATAAGGACTGGAGACCGGTTTCGGGTAAAGATCGGCTACAACCAAGAGCTCATTGCTGTGTTTAAGTCTCTGCCCAGCAGACACTATGGTAATGAGGCCTTTTCTATTTTCTATTCTCAGACGTCTTTTAACAGTTTCTCATGAATATTAAGAGGGGCACATTGGCACATTATATTTTTCCATTTTAGCTAGCTTCTCTCTTTGTGATAGCTGTTTTCTCAAGCAGATGTTAAACTTAGTGCATGACCATAGACAGAACTTTCAGGTGTTTATTGAGGAGACAGGTGTTGTATTTGTATTGCAGCATTGAAGCCTAAAAACAGTAGTTTGAAATCTGTAGATTTATTTTCTTCTTCTTTCAGTTTTTAAAAAATGACTTTTTTTTTTCTTAATGTTATGTACATTGGTGTTTTGACTGCATTTATGTCTGTGTGAGGGTGTCAGATCCCCTGGAACAGGAGTTAAAGACAGTTGTGAACTGCCACATAGGTGCTGGGAATTGAACCCAGGTCCTCTGGAAGAGCAGCCAGTGCTCTTAACCTCTGAACCATCTCGCTAGCTAGCCCCTTCTTTCAGTTTTTGAAGTGCTGAACCAGCTCAGTTATGTTAAGTAATGTGCTTGGGTTGGTTGATCTGAAGGGAAAGCTGGGCTGTGGCTAGCTCTACTATTCCTTGGAGTTCCTGCTCATATCACTGCCTGACTACTCGAAATTCAGATGATTTGGGTTCCACTCCTACCTGCCTCAGGCAATTAGTTAAATGAGGCCTGAGCTGCTATCTATATGAAACAAAAGAATTACCCGTGTTTGCTATTTGCCTCCTCTAGAGATGTTTTTTAAGTCCGTGAGAGCCTGCCAGTCAACAGTTTTGAATGTGGCCTCTGTTTGTTCAGGAAATAGAAATAAGCTCTTCGAGAGTGTCAGAGTGCAAATAGAGACAAAAAGTGATCAGCCTTCTGTTTATTTCAGATTCTTTTACAAAGACTTGGGACTTCAGCATGACTGACTACAGATCCTTGAGTAAGTGGACACATTCTTTCACCTGCTGTGAAAAGTTAGCAAGAGCTGGCACCTGGTGGTTTTGTGCACTGGGCCCTTCCCAGTCCTGTGTTCCATGTTTCTTACCTCTTAAAACAACCATCTTACGAATGGGGAAATGATGTCTCAAATGAGTAAATAATACAGAGACGCACGGCTAATTAGGTATTCAGCTGGAATTCAAACCAGAGTGCCTGTTTCCCCTGGGCTATGGCAGATCCAGCAGTGACAGGTAGCTGTGTCAGGCCTTGCTCCTAGGGAGATGGCTATTTAACATCTGACACTGTCTAATCAACCACAGAGTTCAGGGGGCGTTGCTCAGGCAGTGTCCAGTCATCATTAGCCCTGAATGCACCCCTGTTTTCTGAGTCTGTTCTGTACCGGTGTTTCTGTCCCCTTGTCCTGGGGCCTCTGTCAGAGAAATTGCTTCTTGTTTTCCATTCTCCCCTCTTGTTCCTTCTTGTTCCTAGCAGCCAGGTCTCCACCCACTCTCCAGAAGCTGAGCATACATGCTCAGATCACTTCTTGGAGGATCTGAAACATAAGTTAGAATTCTTACGGTTCACCAGGATGTTTTCAGGGGGGTGATGCGCCAGTTTCTGCAGAGTTTTCTTGCTTTTTCCTTTTATCTTGTCTTTGAAAACATATGCCTAGGTGGTATCCTGCACTTCGGTAGGGCTGCTGTGACACAGACGGGCCTTAAACAGAAACGTGTTTGCTCAGTTCTGAAGGAAACAAATCTGAGGCCAGGGTGTATTCAGGCTTGGTTTCTCCTGAGGTCTCCTTGACTTGATGGTGATCATCCTCTGTCCATGTCAGTGGCTCTCAACCTTCCTGATGCTACAGCCCTTTAATACAGTTCCTTTCGTTGTGGTGACCCCCAACCATACAATTATTTTCATTACTACTTTATAAATGTAATAATTTTGCTACTGTTATGAATCATAATGTAAATATCTGTGTTTTCCTATGGCCTTAGGTGACCCTGAGAAAGGATTGTTCAAACTCCCTAAGGGTCAGGGCCTACATATGAGAACCACTGATCCATATTCTCTCACAGCCTCCAAGCACTCGAGTTTGGTCTTGTCTTGTTTTTGCTTCTCTCTCCCCTACCCTATCCTATTCCTGTCCTGTCTTCCTACTTTCTATTTCTCTACCCCATTCCTCCCTCTACCAGTCATGGATTACTAAGGCCTGCCCAAATAATGTTATTTATCTTGAAAAGCACTGTCTCACGGTCTTATTCTGAGGTACTGGAAGTTGTAACTGCCACGTAGGACTTTCAGGGGCCCAAACTTGAGCCCATGACACCTCTGGTGTGATGTGTGCCACCAGACCACCATGGCCGGGCTTTTGATTTTTTTTTTTTTTTTTTTAAGTTCTGGGGATTAAACTCCAAACCTTGTGCATAGTAAGCAGCTACTTGATCGCTGACTTACATCCTTTGGCCCAGTCCTTGCCAGCATCATCACATAGGAGTGCTGTCCTCAACACTTAGCGCTCTAAATGTGTCTGTGGAGTCTGCGTCTCCCTCCTTTCCTTTTCTGACAGTGCTGGGGACCAAATCCAGGACCTCAGGTATACTGTGCCAGCCCTTGAGTACTGAGCTACACCCCTAACTGGATTTTGCATTCTTAACCCTAACCCCACACTCACCACACAACACACAGTGTATTTAATGCCCAAAGGAAGACAGTTAGGCCCACAATCTCGGGACTCTGCCACTACCTCAGGCACCTTGAACCTGCTTGTTTCCTTCTTTTTTTCTGTCATTAAGTAAAACACTGTTACATTTGTATGTAATTTGTGCTCTGCCTTTCTTACAAACTAGCAGTTTAGCAGTTCTGTGAGATAAATGTATGGGTGTCATCATTATAATGGATCATTGTGAACCTCAAATATTTTGTATTATCAAACATACTAAATTTTATATTTTTTCCAAAACTTGTTACTGACAGAAAAATATTAATGATCGCATAACATCCTGTTGTGCGAATATGGCCGAGTTGCCTAAGTTATTTTCTTGATGTTTAGTTTGCTTCCTGTTTCCTGGTATTGCATCCACAGGAAGCCCTCGGTGTACAAGTTTATGTTTACATTTTCAGTTTCCAGAAATGGCGTCGTGTCGATCACCTCTTAGAACTCATGCCTGCCTCACCAATTTTCCCAAAAGGTTTTCTTCTCAACTAGTAATATAAATGTCTTTCTCTTATTTTGGTTGGTTGGCTGTTGTTGTTGTTGGTTTGTTTTGTTTTTTATCTTGTAACATTGATATGTAAAGAAATGGCTTTTCATTCTGTAAAAGGAACTTTTATTCAGCTGTTTCAGTTGTTGTCTCGGAGGATTACTGCCCCCTTCTGCTAATCTAGGCCTAGTACCGGAAGCTTCTAGCCTCCATACTATCTAACCTAGGCCTAGAATGTTTTTTTTTTTTTGGGTGTTTTGTTTTGTTTTGTTTTGTTTTAGCCTCTGAGATTTACTGCTTAATAAGATCATCCTTTCTTGCCTTTCTTGTTCTTACTTAGCTCAGAGGTGGCTAGTTCAACTCAGCTGTTCTGGCTCAAACTTGTCTCCCATCTAGTTTATTCAATCTGGCTTTTTTCTTGGTCTCTGAATTGCTCTGCATGGCCTCAAACTAACCCCAGCAATCTTTCTAATCTTCTGGCTCCTCTTTCTCTGGTTCATTCGATCTTCATCTGAGTTCCCCCTCTTCAGCCTGTCTCTCTATTACTGTCTAGTAAAACTGCCTCCTCTGTATATTGCCCCTTAAGTAGCTTCCCTTTCCTCTCTCTTCTCATGATTGTTTGGTGTATCCTATTCTATTAAATCTTTTTTTATTTGTCACTTTTTCTGCCACTCAGTTAGACATCACTTTCAAACATGAGTGCTTCCTTCTACAAACTTAAGCTTACCTTCCTTTTTTGGGATTAAAGGCATGTACCACCAGGCCTAGACCTAAGCTTTTCCTTATCAGAAACTTTCTCTATATCAGGCTGGCCTTGAACTCAGATCTGCTTGCCTCTGTCTCCTGGATTAAAGGCTTGTTTGTATTCCAGCCAGTTCACACAGAAGGTCTTTGGGTAAGATCTTTTGCCAAGGCAGCCATGATCTGGATTAAAATTCCTCTACATCATCCCTTTGGTTATTTGTAAAGTTGAACATTTTTGTTTTCTAGTTGCTTTTCTTCCTGTTTGAAATTGGCTGTATCTCCATCCTCTCATTTTATGCTCTATTTTTTATGTTTTCTGCAAATTCTTGTCATTGTTTTTTTTGTTGTTGTTGTTGACAGTTTAGTCGTATGTCCTCAAGTCCATAAAGTGCATAAGTGATAAGTAATAAAATAATGTGGAAAACCATGTATTTGTGGCCTTTTGCTCCTATTTCTCATCTCCTTGCTATCTAAGCAGTTGGTAGAGTATCTATGCATAGGGTCCCTTGGGTGCTTTGTAGTGTGCTATTGTCAGCAGATTCTAAAGCACAACAGAGATTACTTACAACATTTAACCATCATCACAATTACAGTCTTCTGTTAATTTCTGATATCTGTTTTTTTAATTAAAAATTTTTAAGGAATAGAAAAATTATGTGTATGCTCTCTCTCCCTCCCTCTCTCCCCCCCTTCACTCCTTCTCCCTGCCCTTTCTTCCTCTCCACCCCCAATCCCCAAGGTTCTTGCTATGTTGCCCATGCTGTCATCCAACTCCTGGGCTTAAGCTCTTTGGCCTTCTGAGTAGATGAAATTACAGGACATTTCGTAAATATTAAAATGCTCAACACCTCAGTTAGAGCACACCATAAGCCTTCCTAATGTACAGGCCTCTACCTCCTCACCTGTCTTCCTCATGGCCTTGACTGCTCTGCCCTGTTTTCTGTCTTGCCTTCCTGAGGCTCAGGTGAAAGTCATCCAGTGTTGTCTACCTTATGACGTCAGTCCTTTCTTCCTCTTCACAGTGAAAGCAGCTGAGCAGCTCTCCACGGTCTCCCTGCAGCCACTGGAAGGAGTTGATGGCAGTGTCAGGGAACAGAGTGGCCTCCCTTCAGCTCCATCCCTTACCTTTGTCACAGGGAGATGTGTGCTCATCTCCCGGGCCCGCTTCGAGGTTGACATCGGCTATTCGGAGGCGGTGATTGCGCTGTTTAAACAGATGGATTCCAGGATTTACGGCAAGTGATATTGATCTCTGCGAGATCTGTGATGCCAGCAGTGTTTGTCTCCGTCTTTGACTGTTCAAACTGACTTTCCTGATAGAGATATAGCTATATCTACAGGTCAGTGACACCTCAGTGGTCACAGAGTGAAGAAGTAGTGGCAGCTGCTTCATCTCCAAGCAGAACATCCAAGGAGAACATCCTACAGTTTTCTTAACCATTGTTTTCTGGTCATTGTTGTCTTGACAAATGTTCTGCTGCTTTGACTTTAAAGCCCATTTGTTTCTATTTTAGCCTTAGAGCGGAAAAACAGTAGTTGCCCTACAAAGAATGCCTTTCTGTATCCCAAGACAGTGGTGTCAAAGTTAGGCATGTATAGGAGAGGAGGCAGCTTGCTAACACTCTACTTGTGAGGTGGTGTTTCTAATAAGTTCCCTGGTGGTAGCTCTGGTACCAACCTCAGGACCAACACATCCATCATGAGAGCTTGCCGGAGGTTCTTGACATTGGAAAGAAAATGTTCGAGCGTGCCTTATCTCTTTCTTCTCATTGCAGACATCAGGACCAGGAAATGGAACTTTCTCTTGGAAGAGCACAACAAACTAGGTGAGAAGACCACACCTTTCTGCTTTTTCTTCCGTTGTTACCTTTAGTGGCAGCCTCAGCTTTAAAATGGCTTTGAGGAGAGGTTTCTCCTCCCTGCTGTAGAGCGGCTGAATGAGAGAAGTGTTCAGGTAACCTTGTCCAAGCCTGCTGGCACAAGTAGCTTTGTGAAAACCATTCAGACACAGGACACTTTCTGTGGGCGGGATGGTGCTGTTGAAATCCCCGGGGCCTGGAAGCCTTCCCACCATCATGGACAGTTAAGGAGAAGGATATAGACTTGTGCAAGGGTCACATTGCTGGAATGGAAGTTCCTTTAGACAGCCTCTCAGTTTACCTCCAGAACCGATGACCTGAAAGGTAGGAGAGTGTTCTGGTTTGAGGCTGCTTTGTGAACTGCATTCTGTCAAGATGCAGAAGGGTAGACCTGATAGGTGTAGAATTTTAACAGGACTTAGAGACTGACCAAGGGCATGGATGTGTGTACAGCTACCATGCCCACAAAGGGGCATGCCTGGTTCATTTATTGTTTTTCATCCTTGTACTCTTCTTAGACAGACTAAAATTCTAATGTGCCTGAGAAAGGCGGTTGTGGTCATAGCTCAGCCTATTCTGGAATACTAGTTTCCTCTAATTTAAAGAAGTGGTGATTTTCCACAGTTACGTTTCCACTTTTTGGTACCCTGTAGACTTCTGGGTCAGGCTAGATATTGGGAGGAGTCTGCATTGGTACCGTTCACAGCAGTGAGCTGGCCAGCCTCGGGAGTGAGATGTCATTAGGTGCTTGTTCCTCAGGCTAGGGCTTTGAGGGAGAGCTGGATTGCCTTCCGTGCTTTGTGTCTCCTGACTTACTGTGCAATATCAGGTGTCAGGTAGATGACTCACTGTATCCCACTTGGCCTTATATTAAGAAGAGCCATCTTTGGGCTGGAGATAATAGGGTGTTTGCCTGTCATACATAAGGCTTGTGTTTGATCCAGTGTGTGCAGAGGTGTGTGACCATTATTCCAATAGGAGATGGAGGCAGGAGGACCAAAAGTTCAAGGTCATCCTTGGCTCCCTAGCACGTTTGAAGCCAGCCTGGGCTACATAAGACCCTAGTTAAGTAAGTCCCTTTTTGTTCCTGGAGGAAGGCTTCGCTGTAACTGCAAGGTTAAGTTGACTATAAGGTGATGGTATTTAGCACCTGTAAAAACCAGCTGAAGCAGGAAGAATGGCCAATGCAGAGTGGAAGTTCTCTGGCTGTTTGGAGCTTAGGGTTTAAAGTGAACTGTTTTGCCTAACCCGAACTTTTGATGCGAGACAGGAATTAGTTCTTTCTTCTCTACATTGCCTTTCTTGACCAAGAAAGACATACACATGAGTAGGAAGAAGCTCTGCCTTTTATGGACTGACAATGCAGTATATATACCATTAGCAGGCGAATGCAATGCTTGGAAACTGTGTGTCAAGGCTCAGCCTTACATGGTGGTTCCATGGTGGTTTTTGCAGACAGTGGACCTTAAAATACCTAATGAACTTGGTTCTTCATGCAGAGAAGTGAACACAATGAGCATAACTTCCAGAGTTTGTATGTCAGCAGCTCTAGATTTAGAATGTTTATATACTTTTTTTCCTGGTTTCATTGTCTCAGCAAGGAAACTTCTGCTTTCCTTACTGGGAACATTTGAGGAACCACAGTGAAGTTGGAATAAAATTTAAACTCCTGCATTTGGATCCTGACCCATTAAGAAATTCTGAAGCCGGCTCTGAGCCCTGAGAAGCCGGAGAAGAGGGTACTGCTGAAGAGGTTCCATTAGTGCTGCAGACTGGACGTTTGTTCCTTTCTTCTCACCTGGAGGCCCCCTGCCTCATGTGTGAAATCGGGTTATTGACCCCAAACTGGTTGAGCACATACATCCAAAGCTAATTAAGGGCAAGGTGGGTCTCTGTAAGTTAGAGACCAGCATAGTCTACAAAGCAAGTCCAAGACAGCTAAGGCTACACAGAGAAACCCTGCCTCAAAAAACCGAAAACAAACAAACTCGGTGAGGCCTGAGCATGTTATGAAAGACATGATGAGAGTCATTTCCTCTAGGAACATGACTCTCAGGGATTTCTCTTCTTTCCAAGTGACTGGACGCCTTCTGCCTGCAGTGAAATTGGCATGAGGCCTTTTGTTTTCCCTGGCTGTCACAGTCCAGAAGGGTTCTCCATGATCCGGTCTTGTCAGCTGCTGTTTGAAAACACTATCATCTCTCAGCTGTGTGGCTGTCACACTCTGCCAGAGAGCTTTGGGTAGAAAAGACTTTGGGATGACTCATGAAGCCAGGCAGCACATGCCTGTCATCCGCCGGCACCGAGGAATGGACAGTAGACGACCATGACAGGGAAGGGTGGAGTTCTCAGAAGCACCCAGGGAACAAGGCTCTGGCAACAGGGCTGTAGGAGACCGCGGTGTTGGGTTCTTCCCCTTGGCGTGGCTGAGAGAATGTGGTGCTTCCAGAGCCTCTTACTCCAGCTCCAGATTAGCAGCTCTTAGCTTGCTTGCTTCAGTTCTGAAGATTGCTAGGATTGTGATGATAATGGCTTCTGCCAAGCGCATTGAGTGCTCAGTCTCCTGGTGTTTGTAGAAATTAGCACATTCAGATTTAAGAGATTTAAAGTGGATTTCTATATCAACATGGAACAGCTTACTTTATATTAAAACCATTAGCCTCATCTGTTTCATATTGTTAATTCTCTTCCAGAAACAACTGGTGTGTGTGTGTGTGTGTGTGTGTGTGTGTGTGTGTGTGTGTGTACATATGTACATAATGCATATATATGTATATAAATTTTATTATATGTATTCTGTTTGAGTAAGGAGGGGCTATACATCTACATGTGCCATAGCACGTGGCACATGTGATCAGAGAAAACATTGGTTGTGACTCAGACTTTTCTGCCATGTGGGTTCCAGGGATTGAATACAGGTTTCCAGGCTTGGGGCCAAGCACCTTGACCTGCTGATCCAGGTCACCAGCACCTGATGCTCATATTTAGTGAAGAGCAAGCAATGAATTTAAATAAACTGAAAACACCAAGCAGCTGAAGATAGCAGCCAATGGCACAACCGACTATGTTCACACAGTGTTTGCCCTGATAGTCAACTGGTGGTCGTAGTCCAGAACTTTTGGAATAACCTTGAAGAATTAAGAAACCACTGATTACAACTGCCTTTATGTTGAAGAGAACCATGATTTTACCAGTCAAAAAAAAATTATATTTACTGGGTTAGATAATATTTTAGGCCTTCGGACCATGTAGCCCTAGGCCCAGCTGCTCTTCCCTGTCATTGTTGTAGGAAAGTAGCAGTGGACAATCCATAATCCAGTGGCATGGGTGTGTTATAAAAAATTATCATATAGAAAAAAACCAAAGCACAAAACCAGGCTTGTCAAGCTACAGGCCTTTGCTCACTGACTCCTGCTTTAGAGACTTGGTCATGAGCAAGCCCCCTTCAGAGTAATGGATTCAGTATGCTTTGTTTCTTTTATTTGTATGTGTGCAGACATGCAGGTGCCATGGTGCATGGTCAGAGAGAAACCTCAGGAGCCCGCACTTTCTATCTTTGATACAGGGTCTCTCTGTTGTTTCTCTCTCTCTGCTTCGTACATGAAGGTGGCGTGGATGCAGGAGCTCCTGGGAATTCTGTGTTTTTCTCCTGTCTCCTTGGAGGAGCCTTGAGTCTCCCAACTCCGGTTCTCACATTGCACAGCAAGCTCCTTTACTCACTGAGCCTTCTCCTCACACGCACATACACATGCGCACACATACTCCCAGTGACAGATAATTTAGCTGCTTCGTTATTGAGATGGCAGCTCTAAAACCCTCTCGAGGGGAGATAGTTACTTTCATATGAAACAAGATTGGAAGTGTGCAGTTTTTCTTGGTCAGTGGCCTGCGTGGACTCTGCTTTTTGATCTTGTTTGTTGGTAGCACCACTGCCTACCAGTCTAACCTGGGAACACGTAGAGGCTGCTTCTCTGAGCCTCAGTGTTTTCTCTGCCTGTTGACAGAAGCTGCCTTAAGAGTTCTCTCTCCCCACAAACATTGAAGCCATCAGAATGCAACTAAGACTAGAATCATTGTCTCCGGGCTGATTTTTAATAGCTCTGGATCTCTATGAATTTGAATGGTGCTATAAAGAAAAAAATTACTTTAGGTTGAAAAAAAAATCACAAACATTGGGCAGTTCTTTCCAGTACTGTGTAGTCTGCCAAACCACTTTTGTGTCCCTGAGTATCCTCTTATCTGTAGGAATTTAATAACTAGAGAGAGGGAACGCTGGCTGTTGTCCGTTCCAGTGCTCAGCTAGTGGCATGTTCTGCAGTTAGCCCTTGTGAGAAAATGGCATGTAGCAGAATGGCTCTTAGCGAGTTCTGTACAATGAAGCCTTTCCCAGGTCTTTTGGACTTGAGCATTCATACACCTCTGACTCTTCTTTCCAGTTACCAGGTCACGTGACCTCCAGCAAATTCAGCTGGAGCCTCTACCCAAGACAGTGACCCTGGCATTTGCATCTCAGCTGGAGAAGACATCTCTCGATCTGAAAGCAGCCGTGCCAGAAGCTGACCTTTCTGGAGTGGATGCCAAGCTCGTGTCTAACCTCATGCCGTTTCAGAGAGAAGGAGTTAGGTAGATTCCCGATCTTCGTCTTGTTCTCTCTCACTTGACTTTCATCACTCTGCACAGATGGGGTTCATATGTTTCTTCTTTGAATATCTTGCTTACATGTCTGGAAGCATCTAGGCATTAACAGCCAGGTGTGATATTACCAAAGCTCATCGTTACCACTGATTTCAAATTCCATGAGTTAACCAGGACTTTGGATTGCAGGGGTACAGAAACCCAGTTTACATCAATCAAAGGAAGGATATTTCTCAGTGCAGGGATAGAAGACCCAGGGTTTCCCCATAAACTCCCTGCTTTCTTCTTAGCTTGCACCATCTCAGCCAGGTGCTCTGCTCAGCAGCTTGTGGCAGTATCTCACAGTTTGGCAGCAGACACGAAGTGCTGTTTCTGTGCTGCAGAAAGTGAAGCTGCTTCTGTGGCTGCTGGGAGGACAAGGAAGGACCCTGACAGGATACCCATTGGCCTGCGTGCTGCTGGGCCTTGCTGTACTGGCTTCTGGTCCCCACAGAGCCGCTGAGTTATTGTAGCGTGGGAAGCTGTTATCAGAAAGGCCAAGGGCAGCTGAAGTCTTCATAGTGCCCACAAGCTGATTAGAAGAGACTGCTCTCTTCATTTTTTACTGTGTTAAGAAGGAAAGAGCTATCCACGACTTAGTACCAGGTTTCTGTGCCAGCAACAGCTTTTCACAAATTAGACAATAGGGGACTGGAGTTTAGAGCAGGGGACCAGATGTCTGATGTGCAGAATCTCTGTAGTTTCTCAGTGACTCATCACTGTCTCTGCTCTCATTACTTCCATTTCTTTTGTGGAATGAAGATTATGATGTTTAGGAAGGTGGCAAGCACCATTGAAAGTGCCTTGTTGCCTGTTTCTCCCCATCATCTGGGGCAGGGGCTGCTTACTCCAACATCACTCTCGCGGTCGGGGTGCATCAGAGCCACAGCTCCTGAGTGATAGAATTGAGATTCCAATTCAGCCCTGTCTTGCTCCTCATCTACAGACTATTAGCAAGGCCCAGTGTACTTAAGTACTTCAGGTGTTTGGAGGCTGCCAGCCTGGGGTGGGGTGGGGGGGACCCTTTGCTAAAGCCACCTCCTCATCCTCTCCCCATCTGTCCTTTTTGCCAGTAGTTTTAGTCATTGCTGGCTCCACCAGCTCCTTAGCATGTAGCATGAGCTCTAGTCTTCAGAATGCCTCACTCCTAACACCACTAACTCTTGTTTCTTCCTTCCTGGGCACATTTCTCAATGGAGATCAAACCCATGGATGTGGATGTTGTATCCTGACCTCTCTTGTTCCCCTGTGCTCTTGTTCAGGCCAGTTTTTCCCACCATAGTTTCATTCTTGACTCCTGTGGTCTGTTTTGCCCTCCGCATCCTCCTCCAATGTACTTACCATTCTGCATTTTTCACTGTCTGCCTCCCTCTTTTCCTCTTATTCTGTCCCCTAAATGGCTCCCATCCTGTCCTTTCTGGCTGCCATGAGCAGGGCCCATTCTGGTCAGTGTTGTAGCGAGCATAGAAGGGGGCCTCTCCGCTCTCTGTGGTGCATGCTAATTAAGATGGGTAGGATGGCCCCTTGCACTATGATACTCACCTTACCCTGTCCATCTGCTTGCAGCTTTGCCATATCGAAAAGGGGCCGCCTGCTACTTGCCGATGATATGGGCCTGGGGAAGACCATCCAAGCTATCTGCATAGCAGCCTTTTACCGGAAGGAATGGCCACTCCTGGTGGTTGTGCCTTCTTCTGTGCGTTTCACCTGGGAACAGGTTAGTTCTGTTTGCGTTAGAGTGATTGGGAAGGATTCCGTAGGGTTAGAGCATCAAAATAATAGTGTAGAAGCAAGCCCTGGGATCTCTAAAGGTCTAGATGTGGGTCAGAGTCCAGCGGAAAGATGACCTGGTCCCTGAAGACAGGGAATCACGTTATCCCTGCAGGAAGGAAAGCCAAGTGGTCGCTAGTTGAGGCACCTATTGCCAGTCCCTCAGCAGATACTGTACCCCTGTGCTCTTGGAAATAAGACCTATCTGCACTGTACTCAATTTTTTGGAATGTCTTTATTTCCTTTCTCTCTCCAAATCCTGTGACAGTGACCCACTTTTCAGATAAACAAATGAAGTCTCAAGGAGGCCAAGAGCTTTGCCTCCTATGGAAGCACCTTCCTGACTTCTCTGCTCAATGTTTTGCTTGCTCTGTGGTGGTGTGCATAGTGTGTTAAATGGCCCCCACACAACCTAATGTATGGAGCTTGGTGTAGACATTGAATAATTAAATCCCTTTAAGCAAATCCAGTTAAGGAAAGCCTGGCTCCTTTCCAAGCTTCCTGGCATTATGCTGCTGGTATGAGGCGTCAGTTTCGTCACAGGCTGACTTCCTCCTGAGGTATTGGTCATAGTGCCAAGGGTGCACCTCAGCTTGCTGCTGGGGAGGTCTGGATCCTGCCACTACCTGTAGAAAACTGTCATTCTATGCCTGTAGGGGTTAGATGTCCCGTAGACAGTCCAGAAGGAGTCAGGTCGTTGCTTATAACCAGGACCAAGACGTGAGAAATGGATGTCAGGACACAGCAAGCACAGGCAAGGTAGGGATCACCTGAATGCTGAGGCTTCAATGTGGAGACACCCAGTGGCCTTCCTACAGCTCCAGGTTCCCTGCTTTATCTAGTGATCGAATGTGGGGGTGAGCAGGGGGCTATGAAGAAAATGTCAACATAAATGTTTTCCTGGTACTCCATAAGCACTGTTTGCTCCTGTAGGCCCTTCATAGAATTCTTAGAAAGAACCCCATTCTTCCTCGACAGGAATATCTAGACATCACAGAGAAGAACAGGCGTGTGAAGGGCCTGCTCAGGGGAGAGAGTCCTGTCAGTAAAGCGAAGGGGGAGGGTGGACTAGAGGCAGGCAGGGGTGACCAGAGTATGGCCGATGCAGGAGGATATGGAGAGGGGTGGGGAGCGTGTCTTCCGGGAATGTGAAACCTGACCCCTTACACACACACACACACACACACACACACACACACACACAGAGTGTTGTCAAGCACTGCTTTGTTTTGCTCTCACTGTCCCCTGCAGGCCTTTCTTCGCTGGCTGCCCTCTCTGAGCCCTGAGAATATCAACGTGGTGGTGTCTGGAAAGGGCTGCCTAACAGCTGGCTTGGTCAACATTGTCAGTTTTGACCTTCTTACCAAGTTGGAGAGGGACCTAAAAACCTCCTTTAAAGTCGTCCTTATTGTAAGTGACTTGCCAGAGTCCTGAAGTACTCTGTCTCTTTAGATACTCTGAAAGGCTCATTGATCCTCTCTGGGTCTGGGGGGGAAGGAGCAATAGAAATCACTGCCTTTCTTTCCTAGGGAATGATTTTATATTCCTTTCCTGAAGCAGCGCTTACGCCTGACTCTGTACCAGACCTTCCTGAGCATTTTAAAACAGGTGGGATGAGTCTTTGGAGGTGCCGCCCTCCTGCACCGGGAGGCCAGTGGTGGAGGCCAGCATATGTACACCAGACTCTTCTGGGTCTCAGGGACACAGCAAGGGTGTGTGCCTGCACTGGTGCCGCCTTGTCAATATGGCTGAGGCATATAGTTCATCAGTCAATAATTCCCTTCCACCTGGGGTGAGGACAGGCCCCTATCCCTGACTGTAAAAAAAGCAGTTTTTACTTGAGTTGTTTTTAAAGATGCCTTTACCTGCTTCCAGCTCCGACAGCACTGCTTTCGGCAACTGGCTTTCCTCTGCATTCTTCACACACTTCAGGAACATCTGGGCAGACTTGGTACCCAGCCAGCTGTCAGCATAGACTATGTGGACATGGTTCCCAAATACAAACCCAGTAGAAGTTCAGAGCAGTGAAGGAGACGACATGGTCGCAGACCGCAGGAGATGTTTAGTGTATTCTGGACATGAGAACTGCTCTGTGTTTTTAGTGTGTGCAAACAAGAACACATATTTTATCAGTGCTGTTTGGGTAATGAGTCCTTGGGGGAGTCATGCGGGCCTGGCAGCAAATTCAAGTGTGACTTTGAAAGGATGCCAGCATTCCAGTGAATTGAAATATTAAAAGAAACATCCCAGGATGGTCACGGTGGTTTCAGGATGTTGGGACAATGATGCCTGTGTGCCCTGATGCGCCCTTGTAGTGGGTGTCCCAGGTATAACTACTGCTGTTCCCTGTGTTCCCAAGCTGTCCTGCTTTTAGTTCACTCAGGCTGACAATGCATCTGTCAGCTGACAGTGTAGGCAGATTCATTCTTTCCATAGTCACAGAGCTAGCACGTTGGAGAACCATTATTGACTGAATCTTTGTGTCCTGTGCCTTCAGAATTCATGTGTTTGTGTTCCTGGCTCATCACTTAGCCAGCTCTTGAGAGTGAGGGCAAGTTGCTTGCCACTAGTGTTGGTTTGTCCTCAAATGGCGCCAACAGCCTGCCATCTTCTGGCTCCACTGGAGCAAGGGATGAAGTGGCAGCCCTGAGAAGCGCACATTTGTAGATGAGGCTTCCTGTCTCCAGCCTCTGCTTGTGGTTTGTTCGTGGTAAACCATGCTTTACCCATGGTTAAAAGGGCCAGCCCCCTTTTATGCCTGATACATTTTCTGCGCTTCTCTATAAATGGCGTGTGACTTTCATGAAGACTCGTCATAACTTAGGATCATGAATGTAGTAGCCCAGGCATCTGGGGGAATGCTGTCTTGACACCTCACACTTGGTGCATTGCGCTTTTGAAGCCTCTCCCTTTTTCCTATAGTAGCTGAAATGGAGTGAATTTGGGGAAGCTTGTAGATCCTTTCAGGAACAGCGAGGAGATCGCTTATATCTCCTCATACTCATAAGGTGGCAGGACGGCTTTGAGGGCTGCTCCTGTGTTAGCTTAGTTCAGATGTAGCAAACTGATATACTAGGAGCTGGCATTATTTCCATTTTATAGGTAGGGAAACTGGTACCCTAGAGAGATCATTTAGTGGCTCTTACCATGTAGCAAGCAACCACAATGTGCCAACCTAAAAACTTCCCTCCTGGGTAATAATATGTTCACGATTCCTTTGTCTTTAGAAAATATGGCAGACTTTATGTCTTTCTTATATACAGAATGTACAACTACAAATCTATCAGATGCTGTGTTTTTCAGTGTAACAGTCCCCCAGAGGACAGGCCTCAGTCAGTTTCTATTTCTTAGTTCCTCCGGTGCCTTGTGTACACGGCTGTGGTGGCGTAGCTACCTGATCTGCTGCCAGGACATCTGCAGAGCCTGAGGGCAGTGCCAGACCTCAGAACTTGTCGCTAGTTCAGAGCATGTAATGGGTCCCCAGCACACCTGACTAATGCCATGCAGATGTGAAGTGCTTCCCACAAGGTGGCAAGCCGCCTCTCAGGGTTTTGTCCACCCACGTAGCCAATGGGGCAGATTGGGGCAAGTGTTCACTAACTCCCTTTCCAGGTGGAAAACTGCCTTAGAGAGATGGCAACTTGTCCAGCTGGTAATGAAGAAGCTGCCCTGAGCCTGTGGGTTCTTCCCCAGCACACTGCTCCATCTCCTTCACTGGCAAAGGGTTAAGGGCGGCATCCTCATGGCAAATACTAGGCAAGGCTCAGGGCAGGTGGGCGGTCTGTGTGTCAAGGACTGCCCCTGCTCACCGGTTTGCCTGTGTCTTTCAGGACGAATCTCACTTCCTCAAAAACATTAAGGCTGCCCGATGCCGAGCTGCTCTGCCTATCCTAAAGGTAAGTGTGGCTGAAAGGAGACTTGGGGCCTTACTGTGACATTAACTCAGGCAAGCGGGCCATGCTGCTCAAACAGATGCAGCTGAGGACGGTGAACTGTGGGTGGGACTCTGAGATGCTGAGCATCTCTTCTTGGGTTACCCTGCCAAGAACCCAGTCCACGTGAAGTCCTGTTGAGGGTCACAGACTCAGGTGAGGAGAGACCCTGAGTCTTCCCCTGGCTTCCTGCCAGCACAACAGCCTGTCACAGTGTGTCACTAGACGGATCAGGAGAGAGCGCATCTCTTGTAGTGGCAAAGCTGTCAAGGTGTGATGCATTACCTAAGTGCAGAGCCAGGTAGGGCTATGGTATCAGAGAATAATCTCAGGCAAAGCTGAAGCTTGTCTGGCAGACCGATTTTCCCTTTTACGCCGTCTGAGGTCTGTGGTTAACTTGCGGGCCACCTGTATATACTCTTTGTCTGTGCATTCTCGTGAGCGCATGGGCTGTGGTGTGTCCTGGCTTCAGAGGAGGCAACAGTGGGCGTGAAGAGCAGGGTCACGTTTTTCCCCATATGCCTTCTGATGCAGTTCTGTCCTCGTCTTTGTCCCATGTCCTGGACCCCGCTTCTCAGAGAGTAAGCCCCGAATGTCATTTTTTCCTCTTAAGGTTAGGAAGTAGGGGAGCATACCGGCGTATCACTTGCTGATGATGAGTCAGAAGCCGTTCACAGGTGGCTCGGGAGAACTGCTGCTGGGCCTGGACTGAGGAAAGAGCGAGCAAGTTGTTTCCTGCGTTCTACTGAGACAGCCTGTGTAGTGCACGAGCTTTGAGAGCCACAGCATTCAGCTGGGCAGGGTGCTGCGTGTCATCACTATCAGCACTTGAAAGGCAAATGCCAGCCAGATTTACACAGTCTCAGGACAGCCGGGGCAACATAGAGAGACCCTGTCTAAAATTATATAAACAAACAAAGGAAGATAAAATCATAGCATTTACTGCTTAAGACAAGCTTTTGGTCTGACCAGAGGGCTAATATCCAAAATATATAAAGAACTCCAGAAGTTGAGCAGCAACAAACCAAAGTAATCCAATTAAAAAAATGGGGTACAGAGTTAAACAGAATTCTCAACAGAGGAATGTCAAATGGCAAAGAAACACTTAAAGAGATGTCAGCGTCCTTAGTCACCAGGGAGATGCAAATCAAAACGATCCTGAGATTTCCCCATCAGAATGGCTAAGATCAAAAATTCAAGTGACAGCACATGCTGGAGAGGATGTAGAGAAAGGGGAACCCTCCTCCACTGCTGGTGGGAATGTAAGCTTGTACAACCACTTTGGAAATCAATCTGGTGCTTTCTCAGACAGTTAGGAATAGTGCTACCTCAAGATCCAGCTATACCACTCTAAGGCATATATCCAGAATATGCTCAAGTATACAAGGACATTTGCTCAACCATGTTCATTGCAGCTTTATTTGTAAAAGCCAGAATCTGGAAACAACCCATATATCCCTCAGTTGAGGAATAAATACAGAAATTGTGGTACATTTACACAATGGAATACTACTCAGCAATTAAAAACAAGGAAATCATGAAATTTGCAGGCAAATGGTGGGAACTAGAAAAGATCATCCTGAGTGAGGTATCTCAGAAGCAGAAAGACACACATGGTATATACTCACTTATAAGTGAATATTAGACATATAATATAGGATAATCATACTAAAGTTGGTACATCTAAAGTAGCTAATCAAGGAGGACCCTGGATAAGATGCTCAGTCCTCATTCAGAAAGGCAAATGGGATGGACATCGGAAGAGGGAGAAAACGGAACAGGACAGGAGCCTACCACAGAGGGCCTCTGAAAGACTACTTAGCATGGTATTAAAGCAGATGCTGAGACTCATAGCCAAACTTTGGGCAGAGTACAGGGAATCTTATGAAAGAAGGGGAGATAGAAAGATCTGGAGGGAACAGAAACTCCAGAAGGAGAGCAACAGAACCAAAATACCTGGTCCCAGGGGTCTTTCCTGAGACTGATACTCCAACCAACGACTATTCATGGATATGACCTAGAACCCCTGCTCAGATGTAACCCATGGCAGCTCAGTGTCCAGGTGGGTACCCTAGTAAGGGGAACAGGGGCTATCTCTGATGTGAACTCTGTGGCTTGCTCTTTGATCACCAATCAGAGAGCAGCCTTACCAGGCCACAGAGGAAGACAATGCAGCCAGTCCTTATGAGACCTGATTGGCTAGGGTTGGATGGAAGGGGAGGAGAACTATCCGTGGACTAGGGGAGGGGCATGGGAGGAGAAGAGGGAGGGAGGGCAGGATTGGAAGGGGATGAGGAAGGGGGCTACAACTGGGATACAAAGTGAATAAATTGTAATTAATAAAATAAGCTTTTGTTTTTATGTGAACTAAGGAAAGCATATTTGCTAAATGCTGGCCACATTTACCATCTGAAAATTGATTTTCCCACCTCTCCACAAAACTGTCTTAAAAAGTAATTTCAAGATTTAATTTTTTATAAAATCACCATAAGTCAAGGTTATGTCATATGCACTCTGGACACACTTAAATGAAATGCCATCCCCAGAGTGGTGACCTGTCTTTGGAAAGGCTTTAGTATGTTTTCCCTAGAAAAATATTAATACATCTTGGTACTGTGGTTCCAATATTAGGGCATCAGTAAAATTAAATCTCTAGCTCTTGATTGTTTAGACAAAAAAAAAATTGCATAATAGATAACTTATATATTTAAGTTCTATTATGACATCTTGGAAGCCACCAATTTGGTGTTACAGTTGTTGTGAAGGTAGGCACGTGGGGCCTGAAGTGAGTGCCTATGGCTAGACTTTGGGAAGCAGCATGCACATCTTTAGTAGTATCTTGGGTATATTTCAAAGTGATGTTTTTATTTTTATTTTTATTTTTTTTAATATTAATCACAGGTTATATACTTTGTATCCCAGCCGTAGCCCCCTCCCTCATTCCCTCCCAATCCCACTCTCCCTCCCTCATCTCCTCCCTGTCCCTTTCCAAGTCCACTGCTAGGGGAGGTCCTCCTCCCCCTCCATCTGACCGTAGTTTACAGAGTGCTGTTTTCAAACGATCGTGAAGCTGCTTGCTACTATACAGTGCCCTGGATTTGCAGAGTAGGAATTGAGTGAGCATGGCTGCTGTTGGTGAAGATACCTTGAACTCTTCTGAAACACTGACTCTCCCTAACCCTTAGTAGTGAAGGAGTGGGGAGAAGGAGTGGAGTAGCTCCCCTGTGCTGGTCTGTTAGGAACCTCTTCCCTTCTCTGCTGTATTTTCAAATCCAGCACACTGCTGACCCACGCTGTGGGGCTGGGCTTGCATGGTAGTATCGATGCCTAGAAATCTTGGCCTCTGCCAGCCCTCAGTACTCCTGATTGTGACAACTCAGCTGATCTCCAGTTGTGACTTCCTGTCACAGCCTAGAAGGACCAAGTCACTCCTCCCCAGTCACTCCTCCCCCACATCCTATCGCCTTCAATCCCTTAAAGAAACACTTCTCTAAATATCCTAAGAAATGACTCTAGATGCTTTTGATATATTTTTGGCCTGGGTTCAATCCTCAATACTGGACAGACAAGCAGAACCTTATATTCTCAAAATATAGCAAGATATTTTTAGCCAAAGCTCCAAGAGGCAGTTAGATTTTAGCATACAAACAGATAGTGGAGTAAGATTAAGTCCAGAGAATTATGGCTTGTTTGTGTGTGTGTGTGTGTGTGTGTGTGTCTGTCTGTCTGAAGCAGGATCACAGGTTGGCCTCCAACTCTATGTAGCCAGAAATGACCTGTGTTCTTTATTCCCCTGCCTCTACCTCTCAAGTTCCCACTACACCCAGCTGTTTGGTCTTTTCAGACCTAAATTGGCCTCCAGCTGGCTATATACTTGAGGCTGGCCTTGAACTTTTGATCCTCCTGCCTCTGCCTCCTGAGTTGTAGGCTTACTGGTGTGTACTGCCACACCTGTTTGTTCTGCTTTGGTGCCAGGGGATTGAATTCGGGGTTTTATGCCTGTTAGACCAGCACCAGCTGAGCTATATCCTCAGCCCAAACATAGCTTTTGTAAACGGTGACCGTAGTCATTGTCATTGTCCCCTGGAAAATAAGACTTCTTTCTTCCCCACAGCACTGTTTGCCTGGGCTACTAAAACCAAGAAATAGGATTCTATTTTTATATATAAATGTGTAAAAATAGGCAAGATACAAACCAATCACAGCAATGTTAAAATCTGAAAACCACTTTTCACAGTTTGGCTCTTTTTCTAACAAGTCAGTATTGGGGCAAGATCATTTTTAATGACCACGGGGGCAGTCATTTAACCTCCATTGGGAGGCCCTAGGCCTCTTATAATTCTTCATATGAACGAACATCTGTTTATAATTTGTTCTTGTTGGATCAGTTCTTACAAGCAAAACTGCTGAGTTGGTTGTTACCTTCAGGAAGGACTCTGAAGTTCACTCTGACAAAGTCTCACCATCTGACTCCAGTGTAGTCTGATTGGGGGCTCTTTTCCTCCAGATGGTGCTTATCATCCCTCTTAACATTTAGAAGTGTGTTTTTGTGTAGTTGGTTTTGTTTACATTAATTTTTGGATGTTGATTCAGTAGAATGGCAAAATTAATTTATTTTTTAGTTTTAAATTTTATTTTGAGTTTTGCCTGCATGCGTGGCTCTGTACCACTTCATGCCCATGGAGGCCAGAAGAAGGTATCAGATCCCCCTGAACTAGATTGAGAGCCACCATGTGGGTTCTGGGAATCAAACCCAGATCCTCTGGAAGAGCAGCCAGTGTTCTTAACCGCTGAGCCATCTCTCTAGCTCCAAAATTAATTTTTAAGGAGAAAAGCCTCTAGCATCCCTCTGCTTTTTCCTATTTCCCTTTTTCTGTGAGTATAGTTTTTTTGTTTTGTTTTCTCTTTGACAGTCTCCAATATCATAGACTGGGCAAGGATGGCCTTGAACTTCTGATCCTCCT